TGTATGTATGTATGTATGTATGTATGTATGTATGTATGATGTATGTATGTATACATGTATACATGTATATATGTATGTATATATATATTAGACCAATATTCGTGAGATTACACACAATCTTACCGTGCAGCCACGCAGGGGCATATACACGCAACAAGACTGAATACGAAGTATGAGTACTACATGGAACGCATTATGCTGCGGATATGGTGTATGTTCGTAAATAAACAATTTTAATAATTTTAACTCGATATACGTCTTAAATATCTATAAGAGTGTTGTAGTTTTACAGTCGAAACGATTCTATTGTGTTATAGTAAATAATTGCGTAAACATTATATATATATAAAATGTATGTGTGATGTGGTGTGTGTGTGTGTGTGTGTGTGTGTGTGTGTGGCGTGCGCGCGCATGATGGATGCATGTATGTATGTATATATTCTTTCTTTTTTTTCTTTCTCACTTACACTACGACCATGATGGTTGATTACGTTTTCAAGTTATCTGTTTCCTATTATTCCGATAATTAGTAAATAATTGCGACAGCAACTTACAATAAATAAAATTATTCGAAAAATATAGATGATATGATAAATCTTACGCATACTATTTATTCTATTACGATTTGATTTAATTGGAGCCATTGCATTCTAGCGTTTTTAAATAATAAAATTTTTAATGCATATTAATTATTCGAAGTTTCCATATACATATTTATTTGAAATTGTTTCGATATTTTTTTCTAGTGTACATACATTATTTTTTGATCACTATTATAAGTTTCTATGCAATTGTAAATAACGTAAAGTTTTTTGTTTGTGTAGCTTTTTGTAAAATAAAATTTATAATAAAAGTTTTAATGACTTTAAGGGCTAAATCGTGAATTGAAATATCTTTGTTGAAAATATTTGTTTACTCAAAGATAGAACTGTTTGAATTTTCTTAAAATTTTGTTTCATTTGTATATCAAATAATGGTATTCGACCTGTTTAATGAATAATTCATTCTACATTCTTGTATCTGAGCAAGTAATCTCTTTGATTTTAGTTTGTTCCTTCATTCATTTGGTATGCATGTATGATATAGTACTATAAAATACGAACGTATTGTTCAATACATCTACATGCATAAAATATAAAGCACATCTCTAAATCACAACACTATGTTATTCAACATATTTTGTCATAATTGTGTAATCTGTTTAGTAATTTTTTTTATAATTCTTCATACAGTTACTTTTATTTTGCTGTTTAGTATTGCACCACATGGTAAAAGATAAACATTATAAGGAACTATTAAAGGCATAAAATAAAAATGTAAAAATGATATATCATGACCTTCAATTTATGAGCCATATGCTATCTCATTAATTACAATCTTATATTCAACTTTAGAGTATGAAAGTCTTCAGTTAGATTTTAGCTTCAGAATCATACTGTTGCATTGTGATTTAAAATATTTCATCTTTTATTTTGTTAGATAATTATTTTAATATAATTATAAATTTTTCATTAATTATAAATGTAATGTGATAATTTTAAAATATATTTATATTATATATTAAATTAAAAATTCTAATAAAAGTGATATTTCATTCTTCTTTTCAGTAATGGAAGTACAAGATGTCTTCAAACAGAGCAGATCCCAAAAAATCTCTGCAAGAAATGTTTCAGTTTTTACAATCAGATTTTAGAAATGCATCAAAGCATGATGATGTTAAATGTTTAAATGCAAGTAGGATGACAAAGACTCTGTACTGTGATTCAGAGAAATGTGAAAATAATAATATATGTGTATCAAGAAATATCAATCTGTCCCAAAAGATAGATGTTATTAACAGGATACAAGATGATCTATGTGACACGACTGAATTTTCAACAACTATTAAATGTTCATCTGATACATGTTCAGTTTATCATTCTATGTTAAGTGAGAATGTTAATTCTAATTGTAATTGTGATATAATGCATTATCAGCAACACAAACAAATCTCACGAAGTTATATGAGTTCTATATATAATTTATGGAGAATTAGAGAAAATAGAAATTTATCATTATTGGTTACAAAAAAAATTGGTACACAGTGGAGGAATTGTTTTTGGAGAATATTTTTAATTCCGTTCATTATTTTGTTATTATGTACAACAATATGCAATGCAGACTCTAATCAATGTGCAGTGGGTTTGAAAACACCTGGAAGTAAGTTTTTAATAAAAGCTTTTCTTATTTTTAATAAAAAAACCGCATATCTATTTATAAATTTAAACAATTAGTTGTATTTAATTTTGTACTTTTGAAGTATTTGTAACTTCCTACCTACCTCTTATATCTTGTTTCTTCTTTTGGAATTCTAGTCTAAATGTATATATCTATATTTAATGCACTAGGTACAGTGTAGGTCAAAATTTAGAATAAACTTACTGTATATTCCAATAGAAATTTAATTTAAAATATGAATTATAAAGTAATCAATAATGAAAATTGTAATTTTAAACTTAAATTTACAATATTATTATTTTTCAAGGAACTTGGCCACAAGGTGATATTGTACTTGAATATGGTCAATCTTTAAGAATACTTTGTATACTGAATAAAACATTTATGGATGCTGAATTTCCTGGAAAAAATGCTTCAGATCTTGTATTTTTTCGTAACCAAAAAGAAATGGAACCGGAATTTATTACAATTATCAATGAAACTACAATATCATTGGATGTAGAAAAACCTCCACCTGCAGAAGATATGTATTACTGTAGATTAAGATTACAAAATAATCACAATAAGCAACTGGAAGCAGTTTGTTTGAATAAAGTTGTCGTTGGTTGTAAGTATTTCTTTAAAAATAACATAATATTAATTAACTTTTAATTAAAATATTATAATTAATGTAATATATAAGATACAAATCCCTTATAAAATTATATCATTGATATAAACTTAGAATAGATTAAAAGGTATTTCATGAAAACAAGGGCATTCAGTGTCTGCTTTCATGACATGAGTTATAGGAATATCATTTAATGTGTTTTGTGTCTTGGAATTCACATTCGATTATCAATTAAGATAAGATTATAGATACAGAAGTCCTTTTATACAAAGAATTCTTCATAAGCATTCTTAGTATTTTTTATTCTAAGAGAGAATATAATCTATTTATTAATTATTAATAGTTAAACCTCAAGAGCCTCGGAATTTCACTTGTGTATCTCATAATTGGGAAAATATGATATGCTCATGGGAGCCAGTTCAAAATTATGTGACAACAACATTTATACTCGTATTTAAATTACCGGGAAGAGCAGGAGGTAGAAAATTGTATCCATGTCCGAAAAGAGATAAAGATGATAGACCAAATATGTGCTTGTGGGATACATCTACAAATCCAATTTATCGACAGCCGTATGAATATTATACATTTATACTGAACGTAAATAATGTTCTAGGGAATTCTAGCTTTACATACAAGTTTCATCATTTCGCTCATGGTTTGTATTTATTATTTTTTTATTTAATATTGATATATTAATAATACGATTAATAACACTGTATAAATGATTTTAGTTATTCCTGCAAAACCAGCTAATTTATCAGTTATTAATAAAACGTCTGATAGTGCATTATTGCACTGGAGTGTGCCTTTTCCAATGCAGAATTTTCCACCTGGATTATTTCATAAAATCACATACCAAAATCAGTGGGATCATCAAAAAACTTGGCAGGTGAGTTTACAAATGCTTATTTGTAGTGTTATAAGATATCTTGTTTGGAAGTGTAATATACTAATATGATCATATATTAGGTAATCAATATTACAAATGATATTCACGTGCATAAAAGATATTATAATCTTACTGGGTTGAAATATGCCAATACTGTATATGATGTGCGAGTTTTTATGAGAAGTGCAGTTGCAGCTGGGGAAGATAAATGGAGTCAGTTTAGCGACGTTACTTTTAGAACACCACCAAGATGTCAGTTGTAGTTCCTACAATTTTAATTTTATTGTTAGGTATTTCCCGAAATATTTTTTATATTTTTATATATTTGATATTTTAGTACCTGGCCAGCCTCCAAAAACCGATATTGGAAGCTTTGAAATAGCGGAGAATAGTGCTAGTAGAGATGTATATTTGTACTGGCAAGCTATACCGCAATATTTAGAAAATGGTGATAACTTCAGATATGAAATTGTTCGTGTAGAAGAAAATGGACGAAAAGTGTATCTTTTCCCGAATGAAACTACGAGAACATATGCTAAATTTAATGGAATTAGTAACAATAATTATAAATTCGAAATTGTCACGACAAACGTCGTTGGGGCAAATGATGAACGTGCTAAACTTTTTGTACCCAGTCAATCCAAAAGTAAGATTAAAACAGAAAATGAAGATTTATGATGATCAACTAATGTACATCTGCATTGTATAAATAATAATGCATTTATGTTACAGTACCACATGAACCTATAGCATTTACGAAAATTGCGTTTGATGGAGGATTGTATGAATTATCATGGAAACCACCTATTATGAATAAAGAAATTACAAATTATACAATATTTTGGTGTGATAATGAACGTGATCGTCCTTATCAGTGCACTGTATTTATTAATTATTAACTATGTTATATGTATTTATTAACTATTAACATAATGAAAAGAGATATACTAACATGCACTTTGTAATTGCAGGGTTATTTAGATTGGGTACATGTATCAAGAAATACGACAATTTATAATATGACTGTACCAGATCCCGATAAAGTGTATCAATTTGCGATTTCTGCAAATACAAACAGAGGTAGTAGTGGCATGGTATGGGCATCATGCACTGTAATACACAACAAAGTTGTTGGAAAAATGAAATCTGTGTGGATAAATAGAATTGGTTCTGATTTTATTGAAGTTGGTTGGAAGTTGGATTGTTCGGATCGCATTGGAATAGTAGAGGGATTTAATATTTATTATTGTCCCATTGTTTCACCGTATGATCTGAATTGTAAAGGCCCAAAACTTAATACAACGATAAAAGCCGATCCTCATACTATCCATGGTATCGTAAATAATTTGAAACCGTATACAACATATATGTTAGCTGTCGCTGTTTTAACAAAAAGTGGGGAAGGATTGCATAGTGATCCTTTATATAATACAACGCTTGAAGCTGCACCAACAACTCCTCCGCAGGACGTAAGAATTACAAAAGTGACAAATACAACAATGAATATTGTATGGAAACCACCAGAAGCAATGAATGGTGTATTACGTTATTATGAGGTTTATTACAATGAATACTCACAAAAAGTTGAAGATTCAACTCAAACTGAATTGAATGATCTGTTAGCGCATACGAATTATAGCATTAGTGTAGCAGCATGTACTGTATCTTGCAGTGTGAAATCACCTACAATTCACCAAGTTACGAAAATCGGTGTACCGGGAATAATTAATGTACCTAATGTACGCTTCATGAATTCTAGCCAAGTAATTGTTATGTGGAATAAACCTCAAAATGCCGCTGGGTTCTTGAATTATTATGAAATACAGTCTAATGACGGTGACGAAATACAAAATAGTACTAAAACAGGTAACATTTTGGGAAGAAGATATATTTTTTTAAAATCATATCTTTTTACTAATATATTTCTTTTATAAATATTTCAGAGGCTCAGTTACCTATCCCTGACTGCAAAACCATTGGACAAGAAAAATTATATCAATTTCGTGTAAGGGCTGTTAATATTGCATCAGATAACACACATTTAAAAGGCAGTTGGTCTGATCCTGGTGAGGGAAATTGTTACAGTGATGGTAAGTCCATATTTGATTTCTCTGATTTTCGTTTCATCATTTCATCATTCAAATTCTTAACTGAAAAACTTATATGATTATATAATTTTACATTATAGGACCTTCATTTAGAGTGTGGGTTATAATATGGGTGATAGGAGGTATTAGTACTGTGGCAGTTCTTCTTTGTTTGGCGCATTTATCAAAAAGGTATGAATAACTACTGAAAATTTTATAAAATAAATATACTTTTATATGTATATATATATATTTTTATTATGTGTATATATTGTATAGAATGTGGCTAAAGTGCAAAGCTATGCAAGATGTCGAGGTCAAATTACCACCAGGATTAGCACCAAACATGGTTCAGTATATAATATGTCAATATAAAAGACTTAGTATTTGCTATTATTATATTTTGCTTTTTTATTATAGAAGCTTCTTCAAAAAGTGGGTGAACAACATATACGGCAATCTTCCGCTGATTCAAGTGGTTGTTCAAGCGGACAAGAATCTGTTACTTCTTCGCTAACATCAGATTCTCAGGTTTCAAGCGATAGTGGTACAGAAATAGATCCAATGCCGGTATCACCTAATAAATTGCTTGAAACACTACCAGCTTGGGAATCTTCAAGTCTTCGCCAGAGGAATGTTGGAATTACTAGACCAGGATTCACAACGGAAACAGCACGTTGGGAACCATATGTGAAAGTTGCAAAATCCGGAGAGCCCATTGTAGCAGATACATTGTCTTTGGCTCGATCTACGCCTAATTTAACCGATAGTACAGGTTACACAACTTCGCAACATACTTGGTCTTCAACTGGTTACATTAGTATGCCATCGTCAGAAGAATTGTCTAGTAATCCCAGTCCTGTTCCTAAGGAAACCTCAACTGCAAGTGGTTATAGCATTATAGGAACTGTTCCTAAATCTGTAAAATCAAAGTCTGAAGATGACAGTGATTTAACAGAATCTACTGCGGACACATTAATACCCATCAAACCCGAATCCAAGTCCACAAATCCATACATAACTTTAGCATCTTTCGAGCAGAAACAAAAAGATAACAAAGCTATCGATTCGTTACATGATTTGAATGAATTAACGTTTGCTGAATCGAACAAATCGAAACTAGAATCTTTGACTCCGTTCTCAACTTCCGACAAAGTTTCTAAACCATACGTGCAAACAGGTTTAATCGATTCACTAAAGAAGCCGTTTACTCGAAGTAGCATTGACAGTGCAAAGAGTGTAACGATGTCTACTCCATTTGCAGCCACATCTTTAACCGATTCATGCAATAAACCGTTTGTTTCCTCTTTTGCAAGTCCAACTACTCTGGCATCTACGCTAGATTCCTCATCGAAACCTTATGTTTCTGTGTCTTCAATTCCTGAAGTTTCGAAAAAGTCAAATCTTCAAGCAGGTGCTTTAGAATCTTCGCAGAAAGTCACTATACCCCAAACTTCTACAACTGATGGTTCGCAACCGTATGTTCTCGCCAGTTCCGTGTTCCAAATGCTACAACAGCAACAAAGGGGAAAACCGGAAACTTCTATTTCAGAAGCGATAGACAACGAAACGGAAGATGTTACGACAGGCTATCCTTTGTGTTGGCAAACCAGTGGTACAAAGCCAAATTCGAAGTTGGATGCAGACAAACCAGTTATTACGACTAAACAGAGTACTGGATACGTTACCATAGCAGAAAATCCAAAGCTAGAGCAACATAGAACGTCGACGTTGTCATCACCATATGTACAGCATGAGAGGTTTGAGAAACCACTGCCACAAACTACTACTGGTCAGTCAGATGAACAATACAGTAAAGTGACTGTTGTGCCAAGTACTATTCAGTGAAAGAAGAAAGGTGCAAATGAATCGATTGTGGCAGTGTAGCTTGTGAATTTTGTCACTTTGTATAAATTTCCTTCAATATAGGAACATTTTTTAATGAACTATGGTGCAATACAAATTTCACATTTGTAGGTGCTTCAAAATGTAATCGACGACTAAATTAAAACCTACATTTGTTTTTAGGAGCATAGTATTTAGGTCAAACCACAAAACGTGCATCCTACGAGATACATAAGGATTGTCGATGCGTATCAACAGGAATGTGTTTAAAATTTTAGTGTTTTCTAAGATTCTAT